AGCAATATGTGATAGACAACTGGTGTACAGCTCACCCAACCTGGACCAGGTTGCTGCTCTTGTGCAAACTCTCTCTATTAACATTGACAGTTTACCCGACAGTTTTGTTAATGATCTGCAGTTCTCTTCACCCGTTGTGCCATCTTTTTCTGAAGGTGAAATTGCTGACAAGCAAAGAGCTGATCCATTTATTCAGCACATCATCGCTCAGTTGGAACGAGGGGAAAACCCACCGCCATCTCTGAGGGAACAGCTCCCCGATCTGCCATTACTCCTGCGAGAGCTTACACGTCTGGAGCTCCATAATAATGTTCTCGTCAGGAGAAGGAACATTGGAGGTGAGCTTACTTACCAACTTGTACTTCCAGAGGAATGGCGGCCTGAGGTCCTCAACCAGCTTCATGACCAGATGGGCCATTTGGGTACAGAGAGGACTCTGGACCTCGTGAGATCACGGTTCTACTGGCCACGTATGGCAGTTGATGTCTGTAACAAGCTTAAGAACTGTGAGAGATGCATTCGAAGAAAAGCACAACCTGAGAAAGCTGCACCCCTTGTTAACATTAAGACCACAAGACCACTAGAACTTGTCTGCATGGACTTTCTCACAATAGAACCAGACCAAAGCAACACCAAAAATGTTCTAGTGATAACTGATCATTTCACAAAATACGCTGTTGCAGTCTCAACCCCAAACCAAAGAGCTAAAACTGTAGCAAAAGTGCTATGGGAGAACTTCCTTGTTCATTATGGAATGCCAGAGCGTCTCCATAGCGACCAAGGGACTGATTTTGAATCTCACACTATCAAAGAGCTCTGTCAAATCACAGGAATCCAAAAGATTAGGACTACACCTTATCACCCCCGTGGCAATCCTGTAGAACGATTCAATCGAACACTCTTAAACATGTTGGGTACGCTGCAAGAAAATGATAAAACTCACTGGAAAGACTTTGTAAAGCCATTAGTACACTCTTACAACTGTACCCGAAATGATGTCACTGGATTTTCCCCATATGAACTGATGTTTGGTCGACAACCCCGACTTCCTGTTGACTTAGCTTTTGGACTGCCTGTGTCTGAAAAAACATCTACATCTCATTCACAGTATGTTGAAAAGCTCAAGTCACACCTCAAAGAAAGTTACAAGATTGCAACTGAAAACTCTGAGAAAGTCATGTGGAAGAACAAACTCAGATTCGACAAGCAAGTCACAGCTGCAGAACTCTCAGTTGGAGATAGAGTTCTGGTTAGGAATGTCAAACTACGAGGCAAGCACAAGCTCGCAGACCGGTGGGAGTCGGATGTGTATATTATTGAGAAGAAAGCCGGCACTCTTCCAGTATACACAGTTAAACCAGAAGGCAAAGATCGTCCCATCAGAACCCTCCACCGTGACCTGCTGTTGCCGTGTGGCTACCTGTCTCCAGCCTCCAAACCAGAACAAATAAAGCCAACAACAGTGATTGTACCCGTGACTTCAGAAAATGTAGATCTTCCAGATCCTGAAAATGAAGAAGTGTTCTTACCTGATTTGTCTGATTACTCCAGCTCTTATCTCACCAGAATTACAACTGAGGTTGACTTACCTGCTCCTCCATCTACTGCCGCTCCTGTGCCTGTGGATCCGCCTGGCCAGCGCTCACAGGGCTCCATGGAAGGAACTGTTGGTGAGGAACAGGGAGTGGAGTCTGGACCTGAACCTACTGCTGAACTGGACATGGAGCAATCAGCTGAAAATGAAGCAGATTCTGCTGACTCAGAGCCTCCCGAGGAAAACTCCTTCTCTCAATCAGGACCCGTCTCTCCTCAACCAGCATCTGCATCCTCTCCAGAACAAACCAGCATGTTAAGTGATTCTACTGCGTCAAAACTCTCCAGTCCAGACCCTGAACCACCTGTCCGATGCTCGACTCGAACACGTCAGCCACCATCTCGTCTGCAGTATTCGAAACTTGGGCATCCACTTCTGCAAAGTATCCAGTCCCTGTTTCAAGGAATTAGCACAGCCTTTACATCTGCTCTGGAACTGGATGAGACCGCCATGACCTCGGCATCATGTGACAGTGTGGTGTGTCACCAGCCGCCTGCATGTGCGAGGATGCACATGAGTTTAGGGGGGGAACCTGTAACCCGCAGTTAGTCAATTAAGACTTTTATTTTTGCGGGCCCACTTCCTGTTTTCCCCAAACTCCTCAACTTATTTAAGCCCCGCCTCCAGCCAGGTTAAACAACATCACCTGTTCCGCTGTGATTGTGGCTGGCTGTTGGCGTCCTGCTGATAATTTTACCCTGGAAATTCAACCCAAATCTCTGAAACTACTGATTTGCACTCTTGTTGCCGTTGTACCTGGGCTGTCACAGCTGATCGCTGTTGGGTGCGCCCCACTCCCTGCTTTAAGGTCGGGTTTTTTTATATGATGGATCAGATCCTCTTCTGAACCAAAGGATGGCGAGCTAAAGGAAAAGAACTCTATGATCTTTGCATTTATTTTGAATTGTCTCTCACTGTGTATTTGTAATTTTTTTGTTTGTTTTTTCCCCTTATGTTTTTCCCTGTTCCCAAAAAAAAAAAAAAAAAATTCAATACATTGGCACGAAACACTAACTAAAACAGTTTCCTTGTGTTTTCATTCACACTTCAGGCTCCTCAAAGAACCGGTTTCTGACATCGCAGTTAGCTGCCTAGCCCATAACTGTTACACTANAGATAAAAACTAAAGATAAAAACAGTAAAAACATCGAAGACATCAAAACTCACACTCTAACCCTAATTTAGAGATCATCAATTATTTACGCAGTTATGGTGACGTTAAGGTTTTTACTGTTACTGCACGTGAGAGTCCATTTTATAAAAACCTGGCCGTTGAATTCATTAACCCTGCAGATTTGGAAAAGCTAAAATCGCTTTTACCATATATTTACCAATCTGAGGCTGCAGACAATGTTATATTTGTTGTTAAACTACTTTCAAGAGAATGCCTTGCCACAATCACAGTGGACACAACCCAAGCCCCTGATTACCTTCATGAGCTAAAACGCATTTCCCAGCAGAGTGGACAATCATTTGATGATGTTCTGAGAGGAGTTTTTGAACAAATAAGTGCTCATTTAGGAATAGCGGCTACCGGAGGGGAGCCTGACGAGGCTGATGATGATGATGATGATAACACAGCTGAAATACTTACGACTGACGGAGAATCCAGTCAGACTCGGCCATTTACTCTTCCCTCAAACCAATCAGATCAGTCCACCACCGACCAACAAAGACCACAAACTCAAACAAATCCAGCTACAAATGTGGGGCCGAGAATCTCTCTCTCGGGGAATGATCTAAACCCTCCTGGGGTCCAAAGGGTTGTAGTTGAACACATTGTGCGCAGAGATGATGTAAATCTTCAACCTCTGTCTTCCTTTAGACTACGTACCTTCTCAGGGAAACTTCCAAAACCTCAGCATGAGGCAGATTATGAATCTTGGAAGTCTCAAATAGAACTTTTAAATGCAGATCCAGGTCTTGCACCTTTACATGTTACAAGGCGCATTTTGGAAGGTTTACTACCTCCAGCTGCTGACCTAGTGAAGGGTTTGGGGCCTAATGCCCTGCCTGCAGAATTTTTGCAAGTGCTTGATTCTGCATATGCTACTGTTGAGGATGGAGAAGAGCTGTTTGCAAAATTTTTAAACGTGCTTCAGGACCATGGGGAACGACCATCTTCTTATCTGCAGAGACTCCAGTTAGCTCTCAGTACAGTGGTGAAGCGTGGTGGGATTCCAGCAACTGAAATGGACAAATATTTGTTAAAACAATTTTGTAGGGGTTGCTGGGATAACAGCTTGATAAACAAACTTCAGCTAGAAAAGAAAAAAGACCAACCACCTCCCTTTTCAGAGTTTTTATTAACACTTAGAACAGAAGAAGACAGACAGTTGGCAAAAGAGATGTTGATGAAAAAACATATTCCAGCAGTCAAGCACCGTGTTAATGTACAAGCTCATACCACCAGTGCATGCTCATGTGGCCATCTGTCAGACTCTGGTGCTATTGAAGACTTGCGGAAGCAAATGCTAAAGCTGCAGAGTCAAATGTCAGCCCTGTTGTCCAAGGACTCCAATTCTGCTAAACCAGAAAATCAGCTGAAAAAACAGAAACCAAAATCTGGCCAAACCAGTAGTAGGCCAAAGCCCTGGTTCTGCTTTAAGTGTGGACAGGATGGTCACATTGCTCCTAACTGTTCCAGTCAGCCAAATTCCAGCCTGGTTGAAGAAAAACGCCGACAGCTGAAACAAAAACAGCAATCCTCGGAGAAAAGTAAACCGTTAAACTAGAAGCAGTTCCTACTGAGGGACAAGTGGGAACTGCAACTAGTGAATGTCCCCACAACAAAGACTCATCTCCATATTTCCCATTACCTAAAGGATTAGTGGGCACAAGAAGTACTGGTGAGGTGAAGATTAAAGGGATCAATTTTCATTGCCTCTTTGACACAGGTTCCCAAGTCACCACCATCTCGCATTCATTCTATAACACCCATCTATCAGATCATAAGATAAAACCATTAAATGATCTTTTGGAGATAGAAGGTGCAAATGGTCAGAGGGTGCCTTATATTGGATATGTGGAACTCTCTGACATTTCCCTCTGAGTTTGCAGGGGAAGAGATGGAAGAGATGGACATTAACACCTTGGCCTTGGTTGTTCCAGACCTGCGGTCATCACAACCTCCTGTTCTGATTGGCACCAACACTTTGGATGTTATGACCAGTGCTGTCAGTCACAGTCTGAGTTCCATCCTGTGCCTTTTGGATATAGAGCAGTGCATAAAATTTTGGAGATGAGGCATAAACTAACAACTGATGACTATCATGGCATTTTAAAAATGCAGTCATCCAGCCCACAGGTTGTTCCTGCTCAAAAGACTGCTGTGTTGGATGCTCTCCTGATATGCCCATTATTACAAGGAGAAAAAGAAGTAATTATTCAGCATCCAACTTCGTTCTCTCTACCTGGTGGTTTGATAGTAAAATCTAGCCTTATGGATCTACCTCCTGTACAGCCTGCTTCTCTGCCTGTGGTGATCACTAATGAATCTGACCATGACATTGTGATTCCAGCTAGAGCAGCCATCGCTGAAGTCAGTACCATCCAGACCATTCTTCACAAAGAGCAGAGTGTGCATCAACCTTCCCAGAGTGCAGAGTTAAATACAACCACGCTAAATTACAACTTTGGAGACTCTCCGCTCTCAGCTGAGTGGAAACAACGCATAACAACCATGCTCAACAGTATGTCAGATGTTTTTTCAAAGCATGATCTTGATTTTGGTTGCACAGATAAGGTTAAGCATGAGATCAAGCTGTCAGATCCCACTGCTTTTAAACAGCGACCAAGACCCATCCACCCCCAAGATGTGGATGCTGTGCGTAAACACATTCAAGAACTGTTGCAGTCTGGTGTAATACGCGAATCTAACTCACCTTTTGCTTCTCCTATAGTTGTAGTGCGGAAGAAAAATGGTGCAGTACGGCTCTGTATTGATTACAGAAAGTTGAATGCCCAGACCATCAGAGATGCATATGCTTTGCCAAAACTGGAGGATACATTTTCAGCACTGTCTGGCTCGAAATGGTTCTCCACATTGGATCTAAAATCGGGTTACTACCAGATTGAGATGAATGAATCAGACAAAAATAAAACTGCATTTGTCTGTCCACTTGGATTTTATGAATTTAACCGCATGCCTCAAGGAGTAACTAATGCTCCTAGCACCTTCCAACGTCTCATGGAGCGGTGCATGGGAGACATGAATTTAAAAGAAGTGCTTGTTTTCATTGATGACTTAATAGTGTTTGACCCAACTCTAGAGGAGCATGAACTCTGGCTGAGGAAAGTTCTTCAACGCCTGAAAGAATTTGGATTGAAGTTGTCAGTTAGTGTGTTTTCTTTCAGACATCTGTTCGCTACCTTGGACATGTAGTCTCAAGTGATGGAGTGGAGACGGATCCAGACAAGATTTCCACATTAACATCTTGGCCGGTTCCTCAGAACCTTAAAGAGCTCAGATCATTCCTTGGTTTTGCAGGGTACTACCGCCGCTTTGTGGAAGGGTTCTCATCAGTGGTTAAACCTCTCAATGAGTTAACAGCTGGATATCCACCCTGTCAGAAAAAATCAAAACAAATGAAGTTGCAACATTACCTTGACCCCAAAGAACCTTTTGCTGCACGCTGGACGACTGCTTGCCAGCAGGCCTTTGAAGAGGTTATCCAGAAGCTGAGCACAGCACCAGTTCTTGCATTTGCAGACCCAGGTAAACCTTACATCTTGCACACTGATGCTAGCTCTACTGGCCTTGGTGCAGTTTTGTACCAAGAACATGATGGGCGAAACAAGGTGATTGCATATGCCAGCAGAGGTCTGTCCCGCAGTGAAAGTCGATATCCTGCCCATAAACTTGAGTTTCTGGCTCTCAAATGCGCAGTTACAGAAAAATTTTATGACTACCTGTATGGGTCTGATTTCACTGTAGTTACAGATAGCAACCCACTGACATATCTGCTCACTTCTGCTAAATTGGATGCTACAAGCTACAGGTGGCTTTCAGCTCTTTCAACTTTTACTTTTAAGATCATTTATCGGGCTGGCAGGTTAAATGCGGATGCTGATGGTCTCTCTCGGCAACCTCATGCTGAACAGGTGGCTGATCCTTTATCTTTGAAGGAGAAAGAGAGAATATTGAAGTTTACTGAACAACATCTGGAACATCCATCCTGTATTTCCATTGACCAGCATTCAGTCTGAGCAATATGTGATAGACAACTGGTGTACAGCTCACCCAACCTGGACCAGGTTGCTGGTCTTGTGCAAACTCTCTCCGTTAACACTGACAGTTTACCAGACAGTTTTGTTAATGATCTGCAGTTCTCTTCACCTGTTGTGCCATCTTTTTCTGAAGGTGAAATTGCTGACAAGCAAAGAGCTGATCCATTTATTCAGCACATCATCGCTCAGTTGGAACGAGGGGAAAACCCACCGCCATCTCTGAGGGAACAGCTCCCCGATCTGCCATTACTCCTGCGAGAGCTTACACGGTTGGAGCTCCATAATAATGTTCTTGTCAGGAGAAGGAACATTGGAGGTGAGCTTACTTACCAACTTGTACTTCCAGAGGAATGGCGGTCTGAGGTCCTCAACCAGCTTCATGATCAGATGGGTCATTTAGGTACAGAGAGGACTCTGGACCTCGTGAGATCACGGTTCTACTGGCCACGTATGGCAGCTGATGTCTGTAACAAGCTTAAGAACTGTGAGAAATACATTCGAAGAAAAGCACAACCTGAGAAAGCTGCACCCCTTGTCAACATTAAAACCACAAGGCCACTCGAACTTGTCTGCATGGACTTTCTCTCAATAGAACCAGACCAAAGTAACACCAAAAATGTTCCAGTGATAACTGATCATTTCACAAAATACGCTGTTGCAGTCTCAACCCCAAACCAAAGAGCTAAAACTGTAGCAAAAGTGCTATGGGAGAACTTCCTTGTTCATTATGGAATGCCAGAGCGTCTCCATAGCGACCAAGGGACTGATTTTGAATCTCACACTATCAAAGAGCTCTGTCAAATCACAGGAATCCAAAAGATTAGGACTACACCTTATCACCCCCGTGGCAATCCTGTAGAACGATTCAATCGAACAC